GGGCAGCTGCGCGGTGATGGTGCCCTATTTACTGAAAGGGAACATCCCGCTGGGCAGTGGGGACAGATTGCGATGGGAGCCAAGAATTCCTTTGAGATTTCCACTAAACTTTCCGTGGAGAAGGAGAGAGATCTGGCTGCAGATGCAGATGTCAGGGTAGCCGGGTGTGGCATGGAAAGCTCTGGACTGGAGGTCACCCAAGGGGATGTCAGGCCAGACAGAGAGAGCAGGGGGCCCAGGACTTTCAACCACTCCAACAGATGCATTTTGCAGCAGTTGGACACCCCACCGTGTACTGAGAAAGCGTGGATGGCACAGAAGAGGCAAACAGCACCCTGGAATCGAGGCTGTCCTGCAGGAGTCTGGAGCTGGCCAGGAGCTGAGATCCTGGGCTGGGTCAGGCAGGGGAGCGAGTTCCGTGTCCAGGAGCCTAGACGGGGTCTCCTGCCGCAGACAGCTCCGGAATGTGGCTGGCTGGATACAAATGTGTTAAAGATCACATCGGCCATGCTGGGGCTCTCTAAACAGAGCAGCGTCTGGAATGTTCCCTAGTGTCTCTGCACAGGCTGCCAGGGGGATGTTCCTTGATGCCCCCTGAGCATTCTCTTTGTGCCTGCGGGCTCTCACCAGTTAGCTCGCCCCGGCATCACATTTATGGAACAGTGATTACTCTGCATTCTCCTTAAATCGTGGGACAGCTGTGGACCTGTGCTGTGGTGCAGAACCAGAGAACCAGGCTTCCCTTACAACGCTGCATGACACCCCCTTAAAGAAGCACATGCCACCGGATGGGTGGGGACACGACTGGTGATGGGCATCGCCTTCTGCACACTCCAGAAAGCCCACCTGTTGGGCCGACACTCACTCCTCCGGGAAGTTCCACTGGTCGTGCTCCCAGCCGGGCAGGAGGGTCTACACAAATGCAGCTGGGCATATCTTTGACCACCTGGCGTGGCAGGCGCTGGTCAGATGCCCTCCCTGGCCACTGGGCAGGCTGCTCATTTCCAAAGGGTCACACAGGGCCAACTTCTCTGCTTCTGAGGCCGGGCCCTGCCCACCTCCTCATAGTTTTTGACATCTGGAGAAGTTCTTTCAGGGAATATAGGCAAATTCTTCAGCTATTTACTTGCAACAATTACAAAATGTGTGTGAGAACTCTGAGAGATAAGTGTCTGTTGTTTAAACCCCTAGTCTGGGGAATTTTTACAGTAGCCCCAGCCAACCAAGACCGCTATTTTCAGTCAGACTCTCCCAAACGTGACCTCCTGGCCTGGAGAACAGGCTTCCAGCCCTTTTTGGGCACCGCAGGAAGACGCACAGACTTGAACTCGATGCATGTATCCAAACATCTAACAGTCTCTTTGCTGAAACTTTTCTTCAGACAGCTTCTGTTCATATGTGTAAGGACACATATGTCCTTACACGCATGTGTGTTACAGCAAGGCACTGAAGACAAAAGATGTGGGCACTTAGAGCGGCGTAAATCCACAGTAGCTGGGAGGGAGCGAGAGCCGATGGAAGCGAGGGGTAGACCTCAAGATCTGCTCTTACGTGGAGGGAGCGAGGTGCTGAACAGTGTGGGGAGTCAGCTCTGATTGGTGTGACAAGAAGCATCAGTGAAAAATATATTTTCATTGGGGCGGCCTGGTGGTGCAGTGGTTAAGTTTGCACGTTCTGCTTCGGTGGCCTGGGCTTCCCCAGTTCAGATCCCGGGTGCGGACTTGGCACCGCTTGTCAAGCCACGCTGTGGTCGGCGTCCCACACATAAAGTGGAGGAAGATGGGCACAGATGTTAGCTCAGGGCTAATCTTCCTCAAAAAAACCAAACCAAAACAAAGCAACAACAACTTAAAAAACTGATTCAGCTTGAATCAGAAAGCCTGACTTATGGCCTATCAAACATACATTGTACATCTGCTTATCCATTAAAGGAATCTCTCGAGATAAAGAATGCATACTTCCCCTCCTGCACCCTAATGGTGGCAACACCCTATTGGTGATGCCTGGATTAGTCCCTTTCCTGGCATCATGGTCACTGTTGACCTGCTAATTTGCAGCTGAATACCTCTTTGAAAATGTGTCCTGAGTGTTGTAGGGGAGGAAGACATTTCCTCTACCTGCTGTGGGTTCTTCTGGCCAAAGAACGAATTAAATTCACATGAGACAGAATAACAGGAGAAAATTAAACAAAACTTTAGAACATGTATACATGGGAGAGGCTCAGGCAAGCTGAGCAAGTAGCCAAAATGGCCAAAGCCACCACCTTAAATATCATCTTCAGCTAAAGACAAAGGAGGATGTTGGGGGTGGGGGAGTCAGTTACAGGAGGTTACCAGACAAGCACAGTAAACAGGAATAAGATTATTATGCAGATTTAAGTCCTTGCCTTCCACATTAAGAGTTTCTAGAGATAAGGTCATCCTCCCTTCTTCCTGGTACAGAGAGGGAGACACCTTTACGGATGGAGATTTCCTTTACAAATGTAAATGTCTCTTAACAAAGTGTAAGTAAACTCTGCTTTTCAGAGTCCCTTTCCTGTCTGCAGTTTTCAAAAGTAACCAGCCTCATGCCAAAGAGACATATCTTGGGGTGGCCAATTCCAGTCTCCCATAGGGTATCTTCTTTGTTCTAAAAAGATATAAGACTATAGTGAAACCCCCACTTCTCTGGAACACCTTCTGAGGCCTTCCCGGGTTATAATCCTCAACTTGGCTCATAATAAACTCATTCCAGTTTTGATTTATAGGTTGGTTATGGGTTATTTGCATCAACAATCTGATGAGGATCAAGGCTGCCCCAGGGAGAGAAGCCTAAGGCGTCCTGGCCTACATACCAATCTCTATCATCCTCCAGGAAGCATAGGGCATCCTGACATGATCTGACCTGATTCGTCTCCAAAGTTATAGGACCACCCCATAACCAGACCCCACCTGCACTGATATCACTTTAACAACTTTTTTTTTACATGATCTTTCCTTGTTTAGTAAAAATAGTTCACATACCTATGCCTTGTAAATTTAGCCCTGCCCTCAGCCCATTGCAGCTCTTCACTGCCCATGGGTCCCGTCCCCATGCTACTCCATGCTATTCTCTGAATAAAAGAGCACAACCAACAGACCTTGAGAGTCAAAGAAATCTTTCTTTCAACTCCTAGGCTCGCTGAGCCTGCTTCACATCCAGGGTACATTAAGGTGAATACTTTCTCCTCAAGGATCAAGTGGGCTCAGATGCTGAAGGCATGCTGAAGGAATCCAAAACACACCAGATTGTTCACCTTGACAAATAGAAATGGCAAGCAATAGGATACAATGGAGTATATGAGGAAGACATTTGGTGTAAACCTAATTTGGCCTGACTTTGTGTTTTCCAAAAGGCCTGACTGTGGCCGTTGAGCATGCATTGCATATCTGCTTTGAAACATTTCCTATGGTAAGAACAAATGGCCCTTAAGATAAAGGTGCAACTTCCCTCCCCCTCCCAACGTTGGCATTTCTTTAAGGATTAAGCACCTTTCCTTAGGCTAGGAACTGACTGCTGCGCTCACCTGTGACCGCCCAGCTTGAGACAACAGACTTGCCTCCTGCTGCGCCCTCCGAGACAGCAGACCCACTACCTGCTGTGTCCATCAAGCGCTGTGCCGACAGGGCAATCTTGTGACTATTGTAAAAGGGACATTTCAATCCTATGTGAAACATCCTGTTTGGGGGGATATAACCACTCTGTGCACTCCACTTCTTTGGTGCCCTTTCTTCCTTCGGGAGGAAAGGCCCCAGGCCATGGTCCTCAGATTTTAGCTCAGAATAAACTCTCCCAAATTTTCATTTATAGATTGGTTATGGATTATTTTCATCAACACCCCCACATTGGCATTTCCTTAATGATAAGCATCTCTCCCTAGGCTAGGAACTGATTTCTGTGCCCACCTGTGACCACCCAGCTTGAGACAGCAGACCTGCCACCCTGCTGTGTGCACCGAGACAGCAGACGTATCTGCTGTGTCCACCAATCGCTGTGCTGACAGAGCAGTCTTGTGGCTACTGTAAAAAGGACATTTCAATCCTATGTGAAACATCCTCTTTGAAGGTATATAACCACTCTGTGCACCCCGCTTCTTGGGTGCCCTTCCTTCCTTCGGGTCCCCAGGTCATGGTCATCACATTTTGCCTCAGAATAAACTCACCCAAATTTTCATTTATAGATTGGTTATGGATTATTTTCGTCAACACAGGAGAAAATCAAACAAAGTTTAATAACATGTATACATGGGAGAAACTCAGGAAAAACTGAGCAACTGAGCCATCTGGCTGAGGCTGCCTGTTTAAAATATCTTCAGCTACAGACAAGGAGGATGTTGCGGGTAGTGATTTGGGATTTCAGAGGGGGAGACAATTTACATGGAGATGGAAATGCAAATGTTCGTTAAACAGGTTTTGCTGGGCCAAAAATGGGCTTGTTGGTGACTTCCTATCACGCCTCTTTCACATTATACTATAGCTGTCTTATGGTATGAGTTCCTTCTTGGAATAGGCCTTCTATGTTAAATTCTTTAGGCAGTTTGGGAGAAGGTCCAATGCTCTTCCTGAGTCTTCCAGCCTTTATTGTCTTTAGCTAGGAAGAAGCCGCACACCAGAGGGGCGCATCTCGGGGCAGCCTGCCCTGAACCCCATCACAACCATATCCTATCTCAACCTCATTTTAGACAGGACACCACTTCTCATAACATGCCGGCCCCCACGCCCCCAGTCCTCAGGGCCTTTTGGAAAGGCACACGTGCCACGAGCAAATATACTCCTGCATTTTCATCTTGTTCGTCAGGTCCTGCGCTGGACTCGTCATTCCGCAAATCCCAAGGGTGCTGCGGGAAGCGGAGCAATTAGCCCCTCACCTGCCCTCGTGGCCCCGCCCCCGAGGCCCCGCCCCTCCGAGGCCCCGCCCACCGCGCGGCGCGTGCGCGGCTGAGCGCGGACCCCAGCCGCTGAGGCTCGGCTTCCTCCCGGGCCTCCAGAGCGCAGCACCGACTTCCGCCCGGGTCGGCCGCGTGTGCCGGTGCTTCCGGCCGGCCGCGGGTCCCCGCCGAGGCCATGGGGAAAGTGCGGGGGCTGCGGGCCCGGGTTCACCAGGCTGCCGTGAGGCCCGCGGGGGAGGCCGCGGTCGGCCCCGCGCCCCCGGCCCGAGAGGCCGCCCCTCCGCAGGCCTCGGCCGCTGGAGTTGGGGGAAAGGTATAGTTGGGGCACCGCGGGGGGCCTGGGCGGCGGGGAGGGGGTCCCCGCGGGCGGGTGCGGGGCGCCGCTCTGTGCTCTCGGGGTCCTGGTCGGCTCTCGGCGGAGTCTGCCCCGCGCCGTGCGGGAGCCGCACATCCCGCGCATCCCGGGATGCGGCAGAATATGGCAGGAATTCTTGTCAGTCGTAGCCGATCTCCCGGGGAGAGAAGGGAGGTTCCTAGGTTCGTGGGAAGATGAAGAGCAGACTGGAGAGACCCTGTGCCCTTAGCAGTCGCCCCTCTGTCCCCCGTCCCCCAGCCCTAAGCAGCCACGGGTCTACTTGCTGTCTATTCTGGACGTTTCCTATGGATCGAGTCATACAGGTTGTGGCCGCTGCGTTTGCTTCTTGGACTTAGCGCTGGGTTTTCCAGGTTCATGCCGGTCGTGTCATGTATCCGTGTTCATTCCTTTTTGGGTGGAATAGTATCTGCTGTCAGCATGGACCACTGTTTGTTTGTCCAGGTGCTGACCCTTGAGCTGCCCTGGAAGCATTTAGTGGTGTCTGTAACCAGGGACTGGCACGGGGACAGCACAGAAGGCCTTGGTGGTCCGCGGAGGCCCTGACTTTGGACTGGTAATGCTAATGAGAACAGCCGTGTTTGTTAAGCAGTTGCTGTGTGCTGGGCACTTTACATCTCCACAACAGCCCTAACCCTCGTTTTGCAGGTGGAAAAGCTGAGAGTCTAAATAAATTACCAAGGACAGTCAGTTGCTGTTGAAGGAGCTGATGTCTGATCCCAGGGTCTGGCACCAGTGCCCTGGCTTTTATAAAAACTTTGTTGAGATGTAATTCACATGTCCTAGAATCCACTCCTTTAAAGTGTACAGGTCAACGGGTTTTTTGGGGTTTTTTTTGGTATATTCACAGAGTTGTGCAGGTATCACTACAAATTTCAGAACGTTTTCATCACTCCAAAAAGAAACCTCTTATTATCCATCATTCTGGCAACCACTGATCTACTTTCGGTCCCTATAGATTTGTCTGTTCTGGACATTTCATATAAATGGGATAAAACAGTATGGGGCCTTTTTTGTCTGGATTCTTTCACTTAGCGTGTTTTCAGGGTTCATCCTTGTAGCATTATTTTTGTATCATGCATATCTTTGTTGACTTCATTCTTCCCGTGGCTGAAAAACATTCCATTGTATTGGCATACCATACTACACCACATTTTCTTTAATCTGTTCATAAGTTACTGGATAGTTAGGTTTTGTCTAATGTTTGGCTATCATGAATAATACTGCTGTGAACATTCGTGTACCAGTTTTTCTGTGGACTTATGGAATCGAGGTGCTGGGAATAAGCGTGTCTAAAGTATTGTAGACATAAGGAATCAAGTGAGAGAGGAACGGAAGCAAAGCTTACAAAGACTAGGCAGATTCGGAGAAAAACGATGACTAGACCTTGCGTAAATGAACAGCATAATCCTTGAACTTGAACATGGAATAGACAGTTAAACAGAATTCTGATTTCTAGTCACGTAATGACATGCTAATCTTTGATAGACGTTTGAACAGTGTGACCTCAGCACCTTTTATGGTAAGCTCCTAAATGTGGAGTAATGAGATATAAAGTACCACTGTGGAGAATGTTCAAGGGATGGTGTGGAAAGAACTTGAGGATGGGCTGTATACAGACCTAGATGCGTGACCTGAGGCTGCACCTGACCCCTCATCTCCTGTGGCTCCTTGCCCTGAGATCTTGACCGAGAAGGCCCTCCCGCCTAGCCCACCTGGCTGCCACCCAGGCTCCAGCGCTGCCCTCTGTGGGGTCTCTGATGTCTCTTGTTCATGGACTGTCTCTCCCTGTCCTGGGACCCCTCAGGAGCGAGGGCTTCTCTGTCAGGTGCTCTGGGTGGGAGCTCTGCGTGAGGGCGCTCGGGGCTGCCATCTAGCCTGGCACCTTCGTGGTGGGTGGGCTGGTTTCTGCCTCACCCTGGTCCTGTCTCAGTCTGTGACTCCTTTGGGGGTCGATGCCGTGGTCCTTCCGGAGGCCTCTGTCCTTGACTTGGACCTGGAATGAGCCGGATAGGCATGGGAGGCGAGTTCTGGGTTAGCACAGTGTGACGGGCTGAGTGACTTGGAGGGTTTTGAAATCTTGATGTGGGGATGAATGTGGGTTGGGAACAGACCTGGGAGGAAGAGTGCTGAGATGGAACAGTGGCTGTGAAATGGGAGAGTGCTGCGGAAAGAACAGGAATAAGGTGCCAGGTCTGGAACGAGATCTGGTTCCTGTCATAAGTGCTTCTGAATGTTGAGACTGGAATTTGTAATCGATACTGATCCTAAATCTGGTCTGAGAAGGTCCCAGACCCAGAGCAGAGCTGTGTGGGATTTGAGGCCAGCAGGAAGGATGCTGCCTTAGAGCTCTGGGGTCTGAGCTCCCAGTGGCCTTGGGCTCCACTCTTGGGGGTGAGGGTCGTTCTTCCAGGTCCTCCTTCATAGAAGCCGGAACTGGTCCTTGAGCCCCTTGAAGTCCTTCCCGAGGGGCCTCCCTGTCCGTGACTGGCTTGCATTTCACCTTGAAACCATGGAGCGAGTCTTACGTCTCCTTTCTTTCTGTTTTAGGAGTGGGCTTTCGTGAACACTAACGTCTTTGCCAGGACCAAGATCGACCCCAGTGCCTTGGTGCAGAAGCTGGACCTGGACACAAGGAGTGTTACTTCCGTCCGGAGAGGTGAGAGTGGGTGAGGCGGACCGTAGGGTTTGGGTGTTCACAACGCAGAGGCATGCCAGCTTTGAGGTTGTTTGTATGTGTGGGCCACCGCAGATTCCAAGTTGGCCTGTACATTTTCAAAAGATTTTCATTATTGGAAAATTTTAAAGATATACTAAAGTAGAGAGAATGGTATAAAGAAATCCATTTATCCATCCTATCACTTGCCTTCAACACACGTACTGGAGAGTTTTGAAGCAAACAGTGTTTCATTCATGAATTCTTTAGCAAATGCTTCCAAGGGCTCTTAAAAAAGACATAAGCATACCTGCAATGCAGTTATCCCACCTTAACAAATTAGTAGGAATTCCTTATTATGAGAGAAACACTCAGAGCTCACGTGTTTGTGATGGCCTTCTAAAAGTTTCTCTGTAAAAGTCAGGGTGCAGATAAGGGCTCCACGCTGCAGCCCAGCCCCTCCCCGTCTCTCCCCGTCTGTGTGAAAAGACATGAGGAGAAGGCAACCAGCAGAATCCAAGAGAAGGGAAATGCACTGGGGAAAAGGGCCTCCCCCTTATAAACACGCAAAGACTTCAAGCCCTCCCATGACCAACGCTTCAGTCTCCTGCACTCAGTCCCGCCTTCGCTGTGTTGGTGCAGGAGGCCTCTGGCAAGCTGGTCTGAGCGGAAGCCAGTATCGAGTGCAGGAGACTGAGGCGTTGGTCGGGGGACGACTTGAAGACTCTCCATGTGTCCATGATATGGGGGGGGTTCTTTTTCCCAATGCACGTCCCTTATTTTGGATTTTGCTGGTTGCATTCTCCCAAGTCTTTTAACATGTTCTTGGACCTAGCCAGTGTTCTTGGCCAGAGCCTCCTGTCTCTTGGGCCCTTGAAGTGGAGGGCGGTTCTGCTGCACTGGGCAGCCCTGGGAAGGGGAGTGAGCCCAAGGCCTGGGTGGGCTCGCCACCTCCCTCTGTGGAGAGAGGCCTTAATGTGCCCACATGAGCTGCACACTGCAGCTGAGCATCTTCCCATCACAGCCGTGTGTTCGTGGCAGTCCGGCCCTCCAGGCTGTTTGCACCAGTCTTGTAATCCTACTAAGCTTACCTTGCATCTTTTTATGCTGGTTTAATCCTACTGTATGTTTCCATCTTTGAAGTCGTAAGTAGCTGTCCTAACTGCTTTGACATTCACTCTTTGTGGCCCTTGGTACTCTGTTGGACGGATGTGCCGAGTTTTCTTAACTATTTTCCTGTTGGATAATTAAGCAGCATCCAGGTTTTCAGTATATTTTTTTCCAGGTTTCCATCTATAGTTTGTAACCAACATTTAAGAGTTTTAAGTCGTAATTATTTCACAGGTACGATTTATATCAAGCATTTTCTGTGGGGTTACGTTTGTTTACATCATTGCTTTGGATTTTTTTTTTATTGTTGAGTTCATACTAGTTACATCATTGTGAGATTTCAGTTGTACGTTATTTCTTGACTGTCATCACATAAGTGCTCCCCTTGACCCCCTGTGCCCACCTCCCACCCCCATCCCCAGTAACCACTGAACTGTTTTCTTTGTCCATGTGTTTGTTTATATTCCACATATGAGTGAAATCATGTGGTGTTTGTCTTTCTCAGACTGGCGTATTTCACTTAGCATAATTCCCTCCAGGTCCATCCATGTTGTTGCAAATGGGATGAATTTGTCTTTTTTCTGGCTGAGTAGTATTCCATTGTATATATACACCGCATCTTGTTTATTCAGTGCTCAGTGGGTGGGCACTTGGAGTGTTTCCATGTCTTGGCTATTGTGAATAGTGCTGCAGTGAACATGGAGGTGCATGTGGTTACTTTGGATCGTTGTTTTCAAATTGTTTGGGTAGACACCCAGTAGTGGGTTAGCTGTGCCTATGGTATTTCTATTTTTAGTTTTTTGAGGAATCTCCCTACTGTTTTCCATAGTGGCTGCACCAGTTTGCATTCCCACCAGCAGTGTATGAGGGTTCCCTTCTCTCCACACCCTCTCCAACATTTGTTATTTTTAGTCCTAGTGATTATAGCCATTTTAACAGATGAAGGTGGTATCTAAGTGTAGTTTTTATTTGCATTTCCCTGATGATTAGTGATGTTGAACATCATTTCATGTGTTTATTGGCCATCTGTATATCTTCTTTGAAAAAATGTCTGTTCACATCCTTTGCCCATGTTTTGATCGGGCTGTTTGTTTTTTTGTTGTTGTGAGTTGTTGTTTTGTGTGAGTTCCTTATATATTATGGAGATTAACCCCTTGTCAGATATATGATTTGCAAATATTTTCTCCCAATTGGTGGGTTGTCTCTTTGTTTTGATTCTAGTTTCTTTTGCCTTGCAGAAGCTCTTTAGTCTGATGAACTCCCACTTGTTTATTTTTTCTTTTGTTTCCTGTGTCTGAGAAGACATAGTATTTGAAAAGATCCTTTTTAGTTCAGTGTCAAAGAGTGTACTACCTATATTATCTTCCAGGAGTTTTATGATTTCAGGATTTATTTTCAAGTCTTTGGTCCATTTTGAGTTTATTTTTGTGTATGGCCTGAGATAATGGTCTACCTTCATTCTTTTGCAGGTGGCTGTCCAGTTTTCCAAACACCATTTATTGAAGAGACTATCTTTTCTCCATCGTATGTTCTCAGCTCCTTTGTCAAAGATTAGCTGTCCGTAGATGTGCAGTTTTATTTCTGGGATTTCAGTTCTGTTCCATTGATCTGTGTGTCTGTTTTTGTACCAGTACCAGGCTGTTTTGATCACTATGGCTTTGTAGTACATTTTGAAGTCAGGGATTGTGATGCCTCCAGCTTTGTTCTTTTTTCTCAGGATTGCCTTAGCAATTCAGTGTCTTTGGTTGCTCCATATGAATTTTAGGATTCTTTGTTCTGTTTCTATGAAGAATGTCATTGGGATTCTGATTGGGATTGCATTGAATCTGAAGATTGCTTTGGGTAGTATGGACATTTTAACTATGTTTATTCTTCCAATCCATGTGCATGGAATCTCTTTCCATTTCTTCAAGTCATTATGAATTTCTTTCAGTAATGTCTTATAGTTTTCATTGAGTAAGTCCTTCACCTCCTTGGTTAAATTTATTCCTAGGTACTTTATTCTTTTAGTTGTGATTGTAAATGGAATTGTATTCTTGAGTTCTCTTTCTGTAAGTTCATTATTAGAGTATAGAAAAGCAACTGATTTTTCTAAGTTGATTCTGCACCCTTCAACTTTACTGTAGTTAATTATTTCTTTTAGTGTTCCGATGGAGTTTTTGGGGTTTTCTGTATACAAGATCATGTCATCTGCAAACAGCGAGAGTTTCACTTCACTCCGTATTTGGATTCCCTTTATTCCTTTCTCTCACCTAACTGCTCTGGCCAAAACCTCCAGTACTATGTTGAGTAAGATGGTGATAGAGGGCATCCCTGTCTTGTTCCTATTCTCACTGGGATGGTGTTCAGTTTTTGCCCATTGAGTATGATGTTGGCTGTGGGTTTGTCATATATGGCTTTTATTATGTTGAGGCAGTTCCCTTCTATTCCCATTTTGTTAAGAGTTTTTCTCATAAATGGCGGTTGGATCCTGTCAAATGCTTTCTCTGTGTTGAGATGATCATGTGGTTTTTATTCCTCTGTTTGTTGATGTGGTGTATCACATTGATTGATTTGCGGATGTTGAACCATCCCCGTATCCCTGGTATGAATCCCACTTGATCATGATGTTTGATCCTTTTGATATATTGCTGAATTCGGGTTGCCAAAATTTTGTTGAGGATTTTTGCATCTATGTTCATCAGCGATATTGGCCTGTACTTTTCCTTTTTTGTGGTGTCCTTGTCAGGCTTTGGTATCAGAGTGATGTTGGCCTCGTGGAATGTGTTAGGAAGTGTTCCATCTTCCCTAATTTTTTTGGAATAGCTTTAGAAGGATAGGTATTAAATCCTCTCTGAAAGTTTGGTAGAATTCCCCAGGAAAGCCATCTGGTCCTGGAGTTTTATTCTTTGGGATCCTTTTGATTACTGTTTCAATCTCGTTCCTTGTGATCAGTCTATTCAGAATGTCTGCTTCTTGATTCAGCTTTGGGAGGTTGTAAGAGTCTAAGAATTTATCCATTTCCTCTAGGTTATCCATTTTGTTGGCATATAGTTTTTTGTAGTATTCTCTTATAATCCCTCGTATTTCTGTGGTGTCTGTTGTTATTTCTCCTCTTTCATTTCTAATTTTATTTATCTGAGCTTTCTCTTTCCCTTTGTAAGTCTGGCTAGGGGTTTGTCAATTTTATCTTCTCAAATAACCAGCTCTTTGTTTCATTGATCCTTTCTACTGCCTTTTTTGTTTCAAAAGCATTTATTTCTGCTCTGATTTTTAGTATTTTTCTCCTGCTGACTTTGGGCTCTGTTTGTTGTTCTTTTTCTAGTTCAGTTAGGTGTAATTTGAGATTGCTTGTTTGGGGCTTTTCTTGTTTGTTAAGGTGTGCCTGTATTGCAATGAATTTCCCTCTTAATATGGCTTTTGCTGCATCCCATATGAGTTGGTATGGTATTTTATCATTTTCATTTGTCTCCAGATATTTTTTGATTTCTCCTTTAATTTCTTCAATGATCCATTGCTTGTTCAATAGCATGTTGTTTAGTCTCCACATCTTTGTCCCTTTCTCAGCTTTTTTCTTGTAATTAATTTCTAGCTTTATAGCATTGTGATCGGGAAAGATGCTTGAATTCAACTTTCTTAGATTTATTGGGACTTTCCTTGTTTCCCAACATATGGTCTATCCTTGAGAATGTTCTGTCCGCACTTAAGAAGAATGTGTATTCTGATGTTTTTGGATGGAGCGTTCTATATATGTCTATTAAGTCCAACTGGTTTAGCTTTTCATTTGATTCCACTGTTTCCTTGTTGATTTTCTGTCTGGATGATTTGTCCAATGATGTGAGTAGAGTGTTGAGGTCTTCTACTATTATTGTGTTATTATTACTATCTCCTTTTAGGTTTGTTAATAGTTGCTT